GAGGTGTCGGTGGGACACAGAAATGGAGGTGTCCTCCAGGTAGTCAGAAGAGATCTGGGATGGAGATGAAGGTTTGGGAGGCACTGGCCTATGCGTGGGGAAGGTGATCTGGGAGCACTGAGTAGAGCCCGGTAACCCAACATTGAAGGGGTCGGCAGCAAAAGAGGAGGCTGAGACTAACCTTAGACTAACCTTACAGTCTAACAGGCTGAGTGGCTTCCCACTGCCCAAGTCACTGGAGCATCCTGGGGTGCCCCTGGGAAGGTATCCAGGGCAACAGAAGGGACTAGGGAGTCAGCCTGTTCTCCTCACCACTGAGTCCTAGCTCTGCTGACCCCACCTTCACAGTGAGGCAAACCCTTCTCTCCCCTAGGTCCTTTCCCAACGTAGTACAGACAGCCCTCCCCACTCCCAAACACCTCCCCTGCAGAAGGTTACAAGGAAATGGCTTGGCTAAACAGCAGGTGAAAAGAGCTAAATTATGTGGCACTTTGGGGGCTGCGGCCCCGTGGACTCCCAATGGCACCTTATAGGAGGTTCCAAGGGAAGGAACAGGGGGCATCCCCACTGGGTTAAGGACACAAGGATCCTGGCCTGGGTCACAGCCCGAGGAAACCTCTCCTTACCCTCGAGGATGTGATGGGCATCCCCCTCTCCATGAGGACCCATCAGATTATGAAACGCAGTGATGGGACCAACCCCCAAGCCCCTCACCCCCACCTCCCTCAGACTCTAAGCAGGTCACCAGGGGGATGTCCACCACCACACACCACCTCTCCCATCTGACCACGTCCAAGTTGCCTCCTCCTCCCACTTCTGGAATAAATGCTGAGAAACAGGTGTGAGATGCAGGAGGGCAGGTTAAGGAGTCAACACTGGGAGTTGCCAGAACTCAGTCGGAAGAATACGTAACTCATTCTGAGGGTGGTGGGGACGTGTGTAGCTCACTAGCTCCAGACACAGGGGCCTTATGAAGAAATGGTGCAGAGCACTGACATACGGTGCAGGCATCCCTGCTTTGCTGGCCAATGATAATCCCGTAGTGAAAAGCGATGCATCGCAGAATTCCACGGTTGGCGAGTGGGGGACAGAGGGTAAAGTGCCCAAATTGTGACCTGGGGGCAAGAACAGAAGCCCTCTCTCCTCTTTGCCCTGTCCACCATCAAACCCTGCATCAGAAGCCCTATTTCCGTCATTGGTGTCTCCGTTCTTCTTGGCAAAGTCTCCACCTTTGAACCTGCTCTTTCTGCTCCATACTTTGTGTATCATCCGTATTATTACTGCCCCTGCTTTCTGCTTATCTGGCTTCATCTCCTCCTCTCCCACCTCTACCAGCTTAGTACAGACCCTCAGCACCCCAAACTTGGGATATTACAATGACCTCTTCTATTTCACCCCTAACTGGTCTAACACCAACTGGATGTACTATAATACAATTCTGGTATATATATATATATATATATACACACACACACACAATTACCAATTGTGTATATGTGTGTATATATATATATACAGACATATATATATACACACACACACAACACACACATACATATATATATACACACCAACACATGTATATATATATATACCAATTTTTTATGTTCAAATCCACTTTTATTAAAATTATTTGGCAATTCTGGCAGCCATATAAAGTCTTTGACCACTGGACACATTAGACATGAGTTTATAATTTTGGTTTTTTGTGGGTTTGGGTACATGTACTTTTCTAAATCTTCTGCCCTTCATTTCATCACCAAATGGCAAAATGCCTTCAGTTTCTCTATCTGAAATACCCTATTATTTATAGAACAGGAATTTGTAAAATAAGATTGAAAAAATAAAATGCACAGATTCAAAAAACTCTCTTCAAATATTAAAAACATACAAAGTATACTGAAGACATCTACGTTTAGTCCAATATATGTGTATATATATATATATATGTGTGTATATATATATATATATACCAATTTACACACACACAGAGTTTTTAAAGGTTACACTCCATTTACAATTTTGTTTTTTAATTTTGATAACTGTATTTAAATAGTTTAATTTTCTTTGTATTCCTATATATTTTATTTTTTTATAATGGTTATATTTCCCTGTACATATTATCCTTGTTGCTTATCCATTTAATTTAATTAATTAATTTATTTTTGGCCACACAGCATGTAGGATCTTAATTCCCAGACCAGGGATTGAACCCACACCCCCTGCAGTGGAAGCGCGGAGTCTTAACTACTGGACCGCCAGGGAAGTCCCCTATATATTTTATCTTATGAATTTAAGAACATTATTCTGAGTAGGGGGGGGGTCCATGGGCTTCACCATACTGTCAAGGGGGTGTATGGAAGCAAAAAAGTTAAAAACCCTGCTTGGTAGAAATATATATTGTCCTTACTCTTCCCAAAGGGATGCTTGACTTTGTGCACTGAGTTACCTCTCTGGTCCAAGTCCATCACTTCCACCTCTTGGTGCCCTCTAAGGTGATGGGGTGGGGGGAGGTGGGGGCTCTGAGAAAACTGTCCCCAAAGCAAAAAAAGTGCATCAACTGCATGCAGGGCATTGGAAGGGGGGAAAGTCCCAGGGGTACAGCATCAATCAGTTGCAGGCCTACTTCAAACCCGTGCGTTGAGAGCTGGACACACCCTCACACCCTCTTGAGAAATGTAGCTTCGGGCCATCTCAGCCTTCTGAGATCTCTCCCATGACACTGGTCATCCTAGCCACAGCCAGCTGGACAAGGAAGGGATCTCATCCGTGTATGGCAAGTGGACAGGCAGGAGATCTGGCCAAATAGGTACTTTCAGATTGGATGGTGACTAACTGACCCAATTTGATCCTGTCTCTTGGGAAGTTTGAACTTGAACACGCAGGGGGAGTCAGCGGTTGGGAAGGCCAGAAGAAGTGACAGACACAGAGAAAAAGGTGAATGGTGAGGGAGAGGAAAGTGGAGTCAAGAGCAGGAACTTGCCAAGTTAGGGTTTCCTTCCACCCCACTCTCCCAGAGGAGGTCCCGCCCTGCACCTCTGTCACTTCCTGGAGGTCTGCTTCCTACCATCTGGAAGAGCCCACCTAACCTGCGCCCCAAGAGCTCCAGAACGGTGGAGGGCCAGGCATCCCGAGATGCACAAGAGGCTCACAGCAGAGCATGACACCTAATGTGCCAGAGACCCAAAACGAGGAAGCTGGGGGGATTCTCCTCAGTGTTCCTAATCTAGTCCGACCTCCTCCTGGCCCATGAATAGGCCCCCACCGCTTGTGCCCGGTGCCAGGGCCCTGTTAATTTCTATGTCCTTGCAGGTCCCTTTCCAAGGGTTCCCTACCTGCTTGACTGCTCACCAAGCAGCCAGAGCCAGTATTGCCAGAGGGGGCCAGGTGGGAGCAGAATGCAAGCCAGCAGAAATGGGGAGGGAGGGATAGAGAGGTACATCACCCCCTACGTGAGGGAGGCAGCATGGGGTTGACCCCTGTGACCTGGCTCCCTCGGTTCCCCACGTCCAGGCGCCTTCTCTCCCTTGGGGGTCTATAACACACCCCTCTTCTTTCTAATTGCTCATGGATCAAACTTAGTCCACTCTCTTTGCCCCGAAACAGATTCAATTCAACTACATCCGTACTTCCTTTACTCCTAACAATGTTTTAAAGTTGAGGAAATGAAGCTCCGAGAGAAGTCTGATGCTGGCTGCCAGCAGTGAGGGGTCCACGCTCCTCAGCACATCCTGACCGTGGCCAACCCTCCAGCCTCACAGCTCCCTGCCATCCATTCCCCGGGGCACCCTCGCCAAACTGATATACTTACACTCCCCAAAGCAGGGCCCTCTCATTTCCCAGTCTTTGCTCCCGACGTTCCCCTTGGCTAGAATACCCCTAGGTTGCCCTGGTGAATTCTGAGTCAACCTTTAAGACTCAGAGTGTCCTCTACTGTTCTTTGTATACTCCTAGTGAGGCGGGGGCTCTGTCCTAATAGCCTTTATATCTTCAGCCTTTTGCTTAAGGCCTGGTAAGGTGAGGGAGCAAAGAATATGTGCCCCTTGGCCCCAGTGTCACAAAATGATTACGGTCCAGAGGTATGATCGGCACTTGGAACCCAATGGGTAGACAGGCTGGGACCTGGGGCCTTTTGCTGCAGTGCTGCAATGCTTGCACCTGGGCACACCTCTCCTCCAGCAACCAAATACAAAGAAATGGTATGGGACTAAAAATAACTATGTGTGCATGCACAGTTGGGGTAAATTCTGGACTAAAGAGACCAAAAAACCCAACTGCCACTTTTGAGGAGCCTGGAGCAAAAGCAGGGGGTGGCAGGGCCCTGGCTTCTATGACTTCATCTAGACTAACTGTGGCATACCCTGCCTTTCGGTCTCCCATTTCTAGAAAACTGCTCCCATCAGTAAACCATTCGACCTTAGGGCTGTCAAGAGGCTCATCTAGAAGATCAGGCCTGCTGGAGTAAGTAAGTTTGTTCTCTGATCTCTATACACTGGTGCAGTAAGTCTCCACTCTCCACTGCTGGAAGCAGAGTTGCTGGGTTCAGGGTTTGGCACCTTTAAGGTAATGTCGGGGGTGTCCATTAGGAGGGACAGATATCTTGTTAACCTTCCTCTAGTCAACCAATGATGTCCTTTGACCTCCAGCACAGACTGTACCTGATGATGGGTCAACACATCTAAGTGTTGTCCCAGGGTGAGCTTGGAAGCCTCATTAGCCAGCAGGGCTGCAGCTGCTACTGCCCGCCGGCAGCTTGGCCATCCCAGGCCCACTGAGTCCAGTTGTTTTGAAAAGAAAGGCACTGGTCTCTGATCTGGTCCCAGCTTTTGGATCAGGACTCCTGGTGCTCTCCCTGACCTCTCGTGAACATATAAGTTGAAGGGCTTGTCCAAACGTGGAAGCCCCCGTGCTGGTACTCTGATCAACTCAGCCTTTAGAGTCTCAAAGGCCTGCTGGCGGTCCTTATTCCATTGAAGGCATTCCCTTTCTCCTCCCTTTAGAGCGTCATATAGAGGTTTTGCTACAAGGCCATAATTTGGAATCCAGACACGACGGAACCACACGACGGAACCCAGCCATCCGGAGAAAGCCTCGGAGTTGCCTCTTTGTGGTTGGAGACAGTAATGTACTAATTGCTATTTTTCGATCTATGGCCAGGACTCATGCCCCTGGGGTCAAAACAAATCCTAAACATTGAACCCCTTGCTATGAGATCTGAGCCTTGGTTGGAGAGACTTTATATCCCCCTTTCGCCAGAAAATTTAGGACCCTAACAGTATTTTGATCTGAATCTTGTTTGGTCTCACTACTTATCAATAACTCATCAACATATTGTAACAGAGTTCCTTTCTCAAGGCTCAGTTCCTCCAGTTCCCTTGCAACGCATTTCCAAAAAGATGGAGGCTGTCCCGAAAACCCTGCGGTATATTGGGTAACCTCCAGGGGGTCAGGGTCCCTCCATTCAAAGGCAAAAAGGTATTGAGAGTCTGGGTGTAGGGGAATACAGAAAAATGCATATTTGAGGTCCATAACAGAGAAATACTGGGTGCTCCCTGACACCTGGGTGAGGAGGGTGCATGTATGGGTTGGCACCAGAGGGTGAATAGGGATGACTCCCACATTCATGCTTCTGAACAGGGAGGATCAGGGTGGTGCAAGGTGATTGGCAGGGCCTAATGAGTTTGTGTTTTAGGTTGGATTCCCCTCAGGGCCTCAGGCTTTAAAGGATATTATCTCTTCCAGGGGTATTTTTCCCTAGGCCTTAACCTTATTTTTATTTGGGGAACACATTTTGCCCTTCCTGGCACCGAGATATCCCAAACTGCAGGATCTACTTGTTCTCTAATTTCTTGAGGGATGTCTTGGGGAATATTTTGATGCCCAACAGGTGGGTCATCTGGGGCTACTAATAGATGCACTCTCTGTTCGAATTCTTTACCTCCTTGGACTTCACCCTGTCCTAAGAATATACTAGCTTCTAACTTATTTAGCAAATCTCTCCTGAGGAGAGGGACAGGGCATTCTGGCATGTACAAAAATGAGTAATAATAACAGACCCGATTCCGCAGGCAAGGGGGGACGTAAATCGCCTTACCTTTAGCTGTCCATCAACTTGTGTCACAGTACAGTCATGGTTGGAGAAGGGGCCGGCTGGCCAAGTCAGAACAGAGCAGGCAGCTCCAGCGTCTACAAGAAATTCAGTTCTCCTACCTGCCACAGGGAGGGTGACCCGAGGCTCCATTGGAGAAATGAGGATATCGAGTTGGATCTGGAGCTGGGCAGGCGATCGATCCGGGCCGTCAGTCAGTGTGTGGGAATTTCTCATCTGAGAGATTCACAAGGAACTGGGGCCAGTCGGGTTTGCCCCTCGGGCGTCCCACAGGAGGGCGCTCAGGGCATTCCCCCTTCCAGTGCCCCTCCTTCAGACAAAAGGCACACTGGTTTGGGCCCAGGTGGTTTCTTGGTGGTCTGTCCCGCCTTCTCGGCCCTCCAGGGTTCCCTCGAGGTGGTGGGTGGATCCGAGCAGCCAAAGGCTGCCTTTTCTTTATTAGCCTCTCATCTTATTGGCCCTCCTCCGTTAAGTCTCGGTTGTTCTAGACCTTGAAGGCCTCCTCTGCCAGGGTTGACAATGGGATTTGGGGCCCAGCCTCAAGCTTTTGTAATTTTCTCCGGATATCAGGAGTAGCCTGGGTGATAAAATGCATGGCCGACAGTGTCCTCCCTTCTGCAGACTCAGGGTCTGTATTTGTGTCCTTCCTGAATGCCTCTGTCAACCGGCTCAGGAAGACTGCCAGGTTTTCATCTTTTTCCTGTGTAACCTCTCAGACCTTATCACGGCTTCACCATACACCTTTTCATTCCTTCTGATAAACGAGTAATAGAATGTCTCATCCTAGCCTGGCCTACACGGTATTCATAGTCCCAGTGTGGATCATGTTCTGGGATTGCATCCCCATCCACCTGATAAATCTGGTGGTGTGGATTGGTGGCCAGTAGGCCATCTGCGTGTTCCCCGGACTTCCTCAGTATACGCTCCTTTTCATACAACAGTGGGTCAGAATAGCCATGATGTATTTGGCAAGTCTGTCAAAATTTTTTAAAGGTTTTAAAACACCCGGTTGGATAGGATGATAGGTTGCTGTCAAACAATATTGATTCCTTGAGCCAAGGTAGGGAAAAAAAATCAAAAGTAAATATAGATCATTTAAAGGCACAGGAACTCACACGATCTGTTATCAAAAGCAGCATTCCAGGACAACTTTGTTCTCTTATGAGAGACAGAAACCAAATCCAGTCTTGCATCAGCCTGATCTTCATAAAGTCTATTTCCCTAATTAAAGTTAATCCAACCTTAGAAAATCCTGATCACACATAAAATTCTTTTCTCACTGTTCCTGTTCTGCAAACCTTCTGAGCCCATGCTTTGTCCCATATTCTTTTCCCATTCAGAAATAGCCAGCTCTAGTGATACAGGCTGCAACATGGGACCTTTTGCTGCGGTGCTGCAGTGCTTGCACCTGGACACCCCTCTCCTCCAGCAACAAAATACAAAGAAATTGTATGGGACTAAAAATAACTGCACGCATGCGCAGTCGGGACAAATCCTGGATAAAAGATACAAAGAAACCAAAAAACCCAACTGCCACTCTTGAAGAGCCCGGAGCCAAAGCAGGGTACTGCGCATGCCTCCTGCACACACCACCTATGGGGTGGGAAAACCACCAAAGCCTTCCTCTGGCCTGACCCCTGGACACACCCCTACCCTCACCCACATAAAGAACACCCTCAGGGAGCCAGCAAGCAAGGGAAACTGTTGTTTGCTCTCACTTCCCCCTGCTGCAGCAGGGGCCCCAATAAAGCCTTGCCTGAATTTCTTGTCTGGCCTCTGATCAATTTCTATTAATTAAGGAGGCCAAGAACCCTGGTCAGTAACAGGATGGCCTCAGGATGAGAATCCTCTTGCTCAGTTTTTGGCTGTGAAGTAGATGACATCTAGAACCCCTGAGGGTATGGGTGGTCCCCTGGGTTCCAAAATTCACCCTGTTGGGTTTATTCAGTCACTCAACAGTACACCATGGGTCTGTTATGCTCTAAACGCTCTGCCAGGTGCTGGGGATCAAAGATGAATGGCGCAATTAGCTGGGAGGATACACTTGAGCTGAAACTTTAAGAACACTCTAAAAATCTATAAAAGAAAAAGTTTATTCTGTGCTTTCGTCCAGGCGTGTGTGTAAGGGGTGGGCAACGCCTCCCTCCCCACCCCTCCATCCCCTCGCCTCACCTCAGTTCCCAAGGTGAAGATTTGAGGGAGATTAGATGTATAATCACCGGTTTGGGTCTTGCTTTCAGGAAGGCGTGAGGCCTGAATCCTAACCCGGCCCCGCACACCTGGCCCCACTGTTCCCCTAATTCCATGCATCCGGGAATTAGCTAACTGGCTGGCAGCTCACTCCCTGTCAAGAGGCCCGGGAGAGAGTGATACGGGAAACCCTGAAACTATCCCCACCAACTCAGGAGACCCCACAAGACATCGGTCCCTTGGACGAGCAACGGCCCCTAAGGTGGGTCTCAGGCAACACTCTTATAAAGTGCGACCCCTTTAGAAGGAGGAGACCGGCGGGCGCGGTCTAGTGACCACGAGAGTGTCACAAAACCTAAACAGAAGTCTCAGCTCCTAGCGGACCCCGCAGTCCCGCCCCACGCCCTTCTAAGAGCTTGACTTCCGGGAGGAGCTCCGCTGGGGCACCGCCCCCCCCAAGGCGCGGGCGCCAATTGGCCAGCGTGATCGCGGGGCGGGGCCAAATCCTAAAGGATCAGGAGCAGAGGAAGACCTGAAGGGGGCCGGGGCTGCTGCGAAACGGAGGTGATGCCAAGTGGCCCCACGTGGGTTTCTTTTAAATCTTTAATGCCCATACCCTAGTCTCAGGCCCATGGAGCCCACGCGAGACTACCCACTGTTCGGGGGCGCCTTCTCCGCCACTCTCCCTCCGGGGGCCATCGACGTAAGGTAAGAAGGCCCGGGCACCAAAGGAGGCTGACCAGGTGGGTTGCGGGAAGTAGCCGGGGTCAACCAGGGCCTGCCTCGCCTCTCTTCAGCGACCTTCGACCGGTCCCGGACAATCAAGAAGTTTTCTGTCATCGCGTGACAGACCAGAGCCTGATCCTGGAACTTCTGGAGCTGCAGGCCCACGTGCAGGGCGAAGAGGCAGCGCGGTGAGGGAGGAGGGCCCGCGGCTGGCCAATGGGAGGACCAGAGCCGAAAGAGTGGGCGGGGCCTGTGGCGGGACGGTTAATCTGGGCAGTGAGAACTCCAAGGGTAACACCACGTCACCAGAAATGAGCGAAGTTTAGGATGAGATGCTTGTAAGGGGCAGTGAGAAATGCCCCTCCCTGACCCTGCTCCCCCAACTCCAGGTACCATTTTGAGGACGTTGGCGGGGTGCAGGAGGCTAGGGTTGTGCAAGTGGAGGCTGTGCAGCCCCTCCTTTTGGAGAACCTGGCCCTGAGGGGCTGCTGTCAAGAAGCCTGGATCCTCTCTGGCAAGCAGCAGGTAGCTAAAGAAAACCAGCAGGTGAGGGCCAGGGGAGTGTGAGACGTCTTGGAGGGGTGAAGGGGGTGGCTCTAGGGAATCAGGTAAGCATCCTGACTCTGATCACTTTAGGTAGCAAAGTATGTGACACTGTACCAGGCCTTGCTGCGGCTGCCCCAGTACCAGACTGATTTCCTGCTCACCTTCAATCAGCCCCCGTAAGGAGAACAGAAAGGGCACCTCGCTCATGACTGGGTCCCCAGGAGAACTGGCTTGGAGGGGCAGAGTAGGGAGACTGGCTGGTGGGGTCCTCCAAGGAAGTGGGAGTGGGCCAGGGGTTTGGGGTCACAGATAACCAGGTCCTCTGGGAAACAGGAAATGGGAATTTACAAGCCCAAGGCCCAGATGATGTTCTCTCTCTATCTGTTCCTCACCCCAAGCCCTGAGAATAGGTCATCTCTTGGCCCTGAAAATCTGTCGCTTCCGCCCTGGAGCCTGGGTGACTTTGAACAGTTGGTGACCAGTCTGACCCTTCACGATCCCAACATCTTTGGTCCCCAGTAAGGACGCTGAAATGCTGCATGCTGCTTCTGAAGACTTCGGGCCTCTGTTCTGCAAGGGGATCAAAGGGTTGGATATATTCCCCTAATTCCTTCCCGGTGCATAAACATAAGACACCTCCTCTCTGCAGAAATAAACTTGCTTTATAACCAATATAATCTCTGCGCCTTTGAATCCAACAGAACACCTGGGTCCCCCCAATTCCCTTTGGTCTTGGACGGTGGAGTTTAAAATTGTGCATGGGATCAGAAGGGACCCAAGGCCGGCAGTGGAGGAAGGGAGGAAATACACTTTGCAGTGACTGGTTCAGCCCTGAGAGAGGGGTGTGAAATTCACAGGGGTACGGGTAGGGAAGGTTTAAAGCAACACCCAAGAAAGGGAGGGAAACGATCCCTTGTAGGGATTCAACCCTGAGAAAACAGATGGGGAGTGGGGTTGGTGGTCGCCCTCTGATGGATGATCTGGTCAGAAGTCACCAGGTCATAACAATGGAGTCAGAAGAGTCGAAGGAGTGCCGACTTGGTGGAGTGTTGGAAGAGTGGCTGTTGTTATTTGGTATACACGTAGTAGAGTGTGCGCAGCTGGTCCCAGAAGAAGAGGGAGAGGATGGTGTGGGGGCCGAGGCGGAAGTAGGAGGCACCTATACCCTTGTACATGCCCCAAATGCCCTCTATCCGAGCTGTCTGCAGCAGAGCATCCAGCAAGCCCCGGTACATGAGGCCCTGAAAGGTTGAAGAGGAAGAGCAGAGTTTGTCAGAGCCCACCAGAGGCCTCACCTCAGCAGCCTGCATTTTAGGCTTCCTACCTGCACCCACAATCTGCTTCCCTCACCCCCTGGCTTTCCCTGCTGTCCTGCACCCCAGAGCACTCCCTTACCTTGCCCTGAGCATCTGTGGGCTGGTTGTAGAGCCTTGTGCTGACCACGTCAAAGGGTGTCATGGCCAGGACCACCGCAATGCTACTCACCATGGCGGCCACCAGAGCCACCTTCCAGCTCTGGGGTGGAAATATCTAAGGGGGGGAGGGAGGAAGAGCTCTGTCAGTCAGCCAATCATTCAAGCCCTCGGAAAGCCCAGGCCCTGTGCTGCAGGTACAGTGGAGAGCTGGTAACTCAGGGAGCTTCCACCCCACCGGTGATAACACTGTGAAGGAGGAAGAGCGGAAGGCCCTGAGGACTCAGGTACACCTGGGAGGAAGTGACAAGAGAACTGTGGGAAGGTTGTAAAGAGACAGTGATCCCCCCAAGTCCTCCTGCCGCTCCCTCACATTGAATATTGGCACTGTCCCTCTTCAAGCTGAGCCCACTTCAGCTTGCCCTCCCCCTGCCCACATTCCCAGGGTGGCCCCACCCCCTTCCGAGGCAGTACCTCCCACTGGGTCACGAGGTCCTTGGTGGACGAGAAGGTGCACAGCTGGGTGGAGGAACCGACGATAACTCGGGGCAGGCCGCCCAGGGCCCCACGCCACAACCCCACCAGACCATATTTCTGGCCAATCTTGATTAGCGCCTGAAACATGCCCTGGTTGGGGGAGGGGGAGGGCAGAGAAAAAACCATGGGGGCGGGGTTCAGTCACCCAGGCATCAGGGGCTGCCACCCCCTAACAGTGCCAAGGATGGGTCCATAAAAGGCACCCGATGTCTAGACAACCAGTGCCATGTGGGCTTTGAGCATGAATGTGGCCCTCACTTGTCTGTCAACCCACCTTCCCTCCCTCGCCACCCCAGAACAGGGCCGGGTATATGCACGTGAGGACATTAGCAGGTCAGGAGAATGGGGCAAGAGAAATAGGTGCAGAAGCTAGAGGAACAGGGAACATGGGGATAAGAGGGTCTGGGTGGACTCCAGGGGCAGAGTAGGGCCGAACTGATGGGCTGGGCAGAGCCATGGCTGGGTTGCGGCTGTTGGGTGCAGGCAGAAACCTGGGGAAAATGGAAGAGAATGGGCAGGGACGCCAGCGGGTTGGAAAACCCTCACCTGGTGGTTATACTGGTGCCCCACAGCAATTTCTGTGGCTGCCTGTGCCTGTAGGTGTGTCTTCACCTGGAGACGAGAGAGTATCACAGCCTGTGGCCCAGCGGCCAGCCCCCCACCTCAGACAGCCAAATGCCTGACCCCTTCACACTTCCTCTGGGTGTTCGGTAATGAATATCCTTCTAACCTGATAATTATTGTTGTTCCCACCTAATAAATTGGTCATGAGACTGTGTCCCTTGGCTCCAGTCCCAGGGGATGGCTCTCCTAGCACTGCAAGACACCCCACCCCCTCTACATCCTTCTTCCCTTGGGGGAAGGGGCGGGGATGGAGAGGTTGGAGAATGGCAACAATTCCTAAGACTGTTCATGTTAGGCAAGACCTGGTGTCCAACCTCTCATGCCAGCTCCTACTCCCAGACCGGCAGACAGGATCTTCAGCCACCATCATGACCAGGCTCCCCATCAGGCTCTGGGGCAGGTTGTGAGGGGTCATCGGCAAAACTTGCTCTCTGGCCCCCAAGCCCTGTGGGGGGCATGTGTCCAGCTGACTTTGGAGAACTCCAGTCACTGTCCCCGAATCTCATACTCTGGGAGTGAGACCAGACTGCCTCTCCTTCTACAGAACTCATTGCCTCCCAACGTCTTTCCAGAAAGAGCGGGCCAAGTCCTAGCAACAAGCAGCTGTGGTGACCTTGAGCTAGTCGCTTCCCCTTTCTGGGCTCAGGTTCCTGACCCTTCACCGATACCAGATTAACTCAAAGGGGCAGACTGTGGGATAGTAACTCTGTAACGCCCAGGACTTCCCCTGATCCCCACACCCGTTGATGTATGTTAATCAAATTCCTCACCCTCCTCTACACAAATCCATTTCCAACCTCAGTATCAGGTTGTGAAGGCCCAGGCACCCACCCTACACCAAAGGTCTGCCCTGAAGGCCCCAAGCAAGACCCTTCTTCTCACCATGTAGATGGGGCTCCCCAAGTAGGCTCCCATGACCCCAGCCAGGGCCCCAGCTGCTGCGCTGCGGACAGGGCTCAGGGTGCCTTCAGCTGTGTGCAGGCAGCCCCCAGCTTCAGCCAGCCCGTAGGTGCCCAGCCGGATGCCGTTCATCAGGAACTGGTATAAGAGGGCAGGGGCCAGGCCCTTCTGCAGGGCTGCCAGGCCGTCCACCTTGCCGATGGTGATGAAGGCATGGAAGACGTTTCGGTAGTGTCGTCGGTAGGTCCCGGGGGCCTGAAGTTCTCCCTGCAGCTGCATTCTGGTCTTCACCACCTCCAGGGGATTGGTGAACAAACAGGCCCCACAGGCTGCCAGGCCGCTCATCAAGAAGTCCATGGTGGGACAGCAGTAGCAGGAACTGGCCCAGGGGTAAGAAAGTTAAAATGAGCTTCAGAAACGGAGTCAGAAAATCAGGGGAAAGCCTCAGTTCCAGCAGTCCAGGCTGCAGGAGGTAGAAATGCAGAAGTCTGGAGTCAAGAGTGTCAGGGTCAAATGTCAAGAGGTCAAGGGTTAGCTGGAATTTGGGAGTCAGGAGATGGCAAAGAGAGAAGAAATATGAGTTTAGGAGAGTCTGGCGAGAGGGTTATGACGGGGACTTGTTAATCAAGGGATTTGAGGTCAAGGAGGGGCAGAAGCCAGGAGGGCGTAAGGTGGGATGCTGAGGATGGCCGGCTATGGGGGCCGGGAGTAGGTGAGGGAAACGCGGAGCTGGGAGACCGGAGCCAGGGAGGAAGGAAAAAGAAAATCTGCAGGTTAAGGAGGGAAAGGATCCAGGAGAAGATCCAGTGGCGTCCCCGGACAGCAACGAGGTCTGGACCGGGGAAGGAAGTCGAGGCTCCAGCCGGGTATGAGCGCCCTCAGGCAACGGCCGGAGCCCGCAGCAGCTTCACCCCAGGGAGCCTGCGGAGGCCGGGCCGCCACACTCCAATCACTGGAGAGCGACGCCCAATGGGGAGCCACAGCCGAGAGCCTCAGCCAATCAGCGCCGAGTCGGCTCTGCGGCCAATGGGAGGTGCTCTCGGCGACCCGGCCTCCGGAATCCGCAGAGAGGCGATTGGAATTAACTCTCCCCACCCCGGTACCAATGCCTGGGCTGCGGACTCGGAGTGCTGGGAGGGGTCCCCGGGGAGCAGAGGTTTTATCACTGGCGGGGAGGAGAGGTTGGATCCTGGGTTACTGGACGGGCGCAGAGGCCGAGTACGGAGGCAGCAGTCCCTCACCTGCATGTTTTGGGCTGCTGCTCTTGCGGGCGGAGGGCTCCCCTCCTTCGCCTTGTATCCCGGGTCATCGCCGGGTGCGGTTGCCAAACTGTAGGTCCACTCCCTCTTGGTTCAGGCGCCAGGAGAGCCCGGAAACTGCGGCTCCTCCCGCGAGGCAGGTGGGACACACCTACTGGACGGGACAGATCTCCTTAGGCTTGGTAAAATATTTGTAGGTTCCAGCGCGGGGGTGTGGTGGCTGCGGGCGCGGAGGAAGGGGTCCCGAAGGATGGCGAGGGAACATAGTCACATCCCTACGTTCTTTTGATCCTCACAGCAAACCAGGGAGAAGGCCAGACAGGCTAAGTAAGGCGGGATTTTGATCCCTGGGCTTAGGTTACACAGGGCCAGCGAGTGGTGGGAGAGGTCCTGAGACTCTGGACTCCTTCCTTTCCTAGTTCCTGAGCCTGGTAATGGTTAATTACGCAAGAACTTCTGAGAAAAGAGACTAGGGAAGCTAGCTGGGAAGGGGTTGAGGGGGGAAGGCTTGGAGAAAGGTGGCAGGAGGATAGGGGATGTCTTCTGGGGCGGGAGGAGGAGGCAAGGGGGCACAGCAGTGTGTGAGGCAGCCGCCAAACTTAGACTCAGAGGCCTTTGGAGTTCCAGTTTGGGTCTTCCTGCTTACCAGCTGGGTAGCCTTGGGCAAGCTACTTAACATCTCAGAGCCTCCTTTGTAAAGTGAGAATGATAATTATTTATTGCACAAACCTGAGTGAAAGTGTTGCATTTTTCTCTAGATGCTCAATTATCAGTCACCCTGTGCCCGTGTATATCCTGTTCCCACTGCCGGTGAAAGTCCTTGCACCCTTATTTTGGTGACCTCCAAATCACTCTTCATCTTGAACTTCATCTCCTGATCCTTGAAGCTTTTTAGCCACTTCCATCCTGCTTTGCTCCTCAGGCATTTACCCTTGTTTCTCATTTGATTAGCAGTTGTTTACTCTGAGTCCTCCAGTACTCTGGGAGTTCTTGGATGCCCCCCCCCACCGGGGCTGGGGGACTGAGTCTGGGTCTTATCTCCCCAGTGTACTGCTAAATCATTGAGCCTCTGGGCTAGGCACGAGGGGTGGAGCAGATAACGGGGCTTCTCAGGAGAGGCTCTGAAAGGGTCCCCTGAAAATTTCCAAGGGATGCTCCCCAAATGCCTCCACCTGCTGGCTGGGATTGACACTCAGAAAACTGAATTCATCTCTTGGTGAGTGTCGAGCCAAAAGACACAAGCAAGCCAAAGAGTGGGAGAAGGAAGGATTTATAAGTAAGGAGAACACAGGGGATCTTTCCCAAAGCAGTGTCTCCCGAACAGCAAAATTGGAGACATTTTAAGCTAAGGATACATGCATATTAGTGAATGGGTTTGGGTGGTGTATGCTTATTCGTGAAGGGGCTTGAGCAGAAGAAGAATCAACATAGAATAGGGGCGAAGGTTGCTGGAGTCCAAGCTTTAGTTGATTGAAGTCTCAAGCATCTGAAGAAGGTTAATATCATTAGGTTCCCACCAGTCTGCGGTTTTAGCCCCTAGTTACTTACCATCCTCCACCTGCATGGGGGATCTTGGTTCCGGTAGAACAACTAAAAAGATCAGATTGTTATGCATATCCCTTGAGGAGGACCTAGGACTCTGTTTTATCCCTGAATTGTTGCTTCTTGAATGCTTTGCCTTTGTTCCTGCATTCTTTTGTTCCCCTAAGATCATTAATTACTGAGACCTGCTCTAGGGCAAACATTGTGGCCAGGCTGAGATCACAAAATGGCTTAGACCTAAAATGGCTTCTCTTATGTCAAGAAAGCCATGTGGGGTTCTCTTTCTCCGGGACCCCCTACCCTATCTGCTTATAGGATGAGAGTTCATCATTGTTTTAATCTTTGAGTTTATACCAGTGATTCTCCAAGTGCAGTCCCTGGAGCAACAGCAGCAGCACCTGCGGACTTACTAGAAATAGAGATTCTCTAGGCCCATCCTAGACCTCCTGCACTGAAGGCGGGGGCCTGACAGGGGCTTAACAAACCGTCTAGGTTATTCTGATATGTGCTAAAGTTTTAGAAACACTGCTGAAGCCTTTCATTTTTAATATCCAGATGCCCTACAGATAGACAACTTTTTTTTTTTTTTTTGCCGTGCGCGGGCCTCTCACCGTTGCGGCCCATCCCGTTGCGGAGCACAGGCTCCGGACGCTCAGGCTCAGCGGCCATGGCCCACGGGCCCAGCCGCTCCGCGGCATGTGGGATCCTCCCGGACCGGGGCAGGAACCCGTGTCTCCTGTATCGGCAGGCGGATTCCCAACCACAGCGCCACCAGGAAAGCCCCAGATAGACAACTTTTAAAGTGTTATTTTTTTTTAAAATAAGCTTAATTTTTATTTCTTAAAAATTTTATTTATTTATTTTTGGCTATGTTGGGTCTTCGTTGCTGTGTGCGGGCTTTCTCTAGTTGCGGCGAGCGGGGGCTACTCTTTGTTGTTTCGGTGGCTTCTCTTGTTGTGGAGCACGGGCACTAGGCACGCGGGATCCAGTAGCTGTGGCATGTGGACTCAGTAGTTATGGCTCTTGGGCTCTAGAGCACAGGCTCAGTAGTTGTGGCTCACGGGCCTAGTTGCTCTGTGGCATGTGGGATCTTCCCGGGCCAGGGGTTGAACCCGTGTCCCCTGCATTGGCAGGCGGATTCTTAACCACTGCGCCACCAGGGAAGTCCTTTTCCCTGTTTTTTTTTTTTTTTTTTTTTTTTTAACTGGGTGGTTTGTTGTTGAGTTTGAGTTATTTGTGTATTTTGGATAAGAGTCCTTTATCAGATAAGTGTTTTGCAAATATTTACTCCCAGTCTATGACTTGTCTTTTCGTTCTCTTAATAGTGTCTTTTACAGAGCAGAAGTTTTTACTTATAATAAAGTCTAACATCAATTTTTTTTCTTTCATGGATCATGTTTTTGGTGTTGTATCTAAAAACTTATTGCCAAACCCAAGGTCACCTAGATTATCTCCTATACTTTCTTTTAGAAATTTCATAGTTTTGTATTTTACATTTAGGTCCATGATCTTTTTTGAGTGTGAATGATGTAAGGTCTGTGTCTTTTTTTTCTTTTTTTTTGCGGTACGCGGGCCTCTCAGTGTTGTGGCCTCTTGCGCTGCGGAGCACAGGGAGCCTGGATGTGCAGGCTCAGCGGCCATAGCTCACGGGCCCAGGCGCTCTGCGACATGTGGGATCTTCCCGGACCGGGGCACGAACCCGTGTCCCCTGCATCGACAGGCAGACTCTCAACCACTGTGCCACCAGGGAAGCCCGGTCTGTGTCTTTTTTACATATGGATATCAGTTGTTCCAGGAAGTTTTGTTGCAAATTCTATCCTTTCTCCATTGAATTGCTTTTGCTCCTTTGTCAAAAGTCAGTTGACTCAGGGAATAGAGCCAACATTTTATCATAACTATAAATGGAATATAATCTATAAAAATTTTGAATCACTATGTTGTACATCCCAAACTAATATAATATGGTAAATCAACTATACCTCAATTTTTAAAAAATATCAGTTGACTGTATTTGTGTTGGCCCATTTCCATTGATCTATGTGTCTGTTTTTTCACCAATACCATGCTGTGTTGATTATCATAGGCTGTTATCATTTTTGTTTCCCCCTGGGTATGAATGTCCTGAGACACGTGTGAGAGGAGTGGAGGGGAAGCACAAAGATGGCCCCAGGTCTGAGAGAAGGGGTGAAACCACGGAGAGGGGAGAGTGAACGGTGCAGAGGCCTGGAAGGCACGGAGCTGTGCCTCTTCTGCACCTCTACCTGGGGTGGCCTAGACACCCATAGCTTCATATTTGCTGCCAGGCCCCATACCTGATGTGCTCACCCTCCACCTAGTGGCAGTTGGACAGAATCCTCTATCCTCGCACAGATTAGAACCTGCATGGATTCCCAGAGCGGGCCAGCGTTTCCTCACTGCCCGCTTCCTGATTTATCCCACACCACAGGCAGGCTACCTACCCCTAATAGCTTTCTAGACAGAAAAGAGGGCCTAGGTGTTTTGTACTCCATGAAGGATTCTGTTGGAGTTCAATGTCCTGGCCCTATCAGCGGCCAGTGGGACTCTGCACTTCTTTCATCATGAGCTCCTCTCCTGTTGGAAGGGATTTTTTTGGCATGAATTAAGCTTTGTCCCTGCTTGGGTCACACGCTCACCCCTGAACCAATCTCGGTAGCTAGGGAAGAGGAAATGTGCCGACTGGCTGCTTCTGGGCCATACATTCCCCCCAGAATGGGCCATGTGGACCTAGAATGATGGAAGGGCGGGTTCCCAAAAGAAAACTGGGTGCTGGTACCAGAAGAGGGGGAATGGGTGGGCAACTGGTTAAAACTCCTGCCATCCACTCCTCCGCCTGCTCAGAAACCTCAGTGCCTCTACTGCCCTGTCCGGTTGCCCGTGGGGTGGCCGCTACATGTTCCTCCAGCCTCATACCCCACTTTTCATATCAGCTAAGCTTCCCTCTCACAGTTCTCCAGATGGGCCTACTCTCCTCTTCACTGCTTCTCCACTTCTATGGTCTCCCCAGATGGTCACCCATGCCTTGCCTCTTGGCCTGGCCAAACTTTACCTGATTTTCCTAACAACCAGGTGAGTGACGTAA